TATTAAATAATGTCCAATGAACTTTTTATTGAAGAAGGTAATTAGAACAATGTATTTGACAAGGATTCTAACCTTAAAGGTTGAAACAATAGGATTGTCATTTCATCTGCAATAGAGAATTTTTTATAGGTACATGGGGGGCCCAGGTTGAATCATAATTTGTGCCACAATTTCTTTTCTATGGATTCTTTTTCTCACCACAATAAGTATTATGAAGTATTATAAATGAACAATGTAGCATAAATGAGAGGATATTAGCAAAAGGCAACATGAGGGTGGTACTATAGCAATAGTAGATTTGCTGGTAGGAAAGTTTATAGAATTATTGAATGTGTGTGTATGTGTGTGTGTGTGTGTGTGTGTGTGTGTGTATATAAAACTTGTTTTTGCTGCTTTTTAAATCACAAGATGGAGCCATTGCCTCCTACTTCCCCCCTCCCAAATAATATAGACTGATTCCTGATGTCATTCAGCTGCCTGCCACTTTTTCTTGAGTCCTTCCAAAGAGTGGCCCTGGTTTGCCATACTCTAGGGATAGCTCCAACTTAAGTTAAATAGAGGATTCAAATAAGCAGAATGAATTAACAAGATCTGTCTGTTCTCCAAATTCTTAAGCCACTCAGCCATAGTAGCCATATTTCGTATTTTCTATCCTTTTTATTATGTCTGCCACAATGTTATATGCATACAGTAAACACTGAATTAATATTGATTGGTTCTTGCTATTAGAGAGATTTATGTAATAAAGTATTCCCATCCTAGACCAAATTCTGGTATATGTGACCACAGGGATAACACCATGTTGAATTTCTTGTTTCTATGAAAATTAGTACCTAGTGAGGCAAAGTCACATTTTGCATATGTGATTTCTTAATGAAGAAACAACTATATAGTAGTAATCTAGATTTTTAAATCACTTTATTGAGATATAATATATATAAAACTCACTCTTTAAAAGTATACTATTCAGTGGATTTTAGTGTATTCACAAAGTTGTGCAACAACCACCACTATCAAAATCCAGAATATTTTCATCACCCCTGAAAGAAATCCCACATTCATTAAGCAGTCAGTCATACTACATTGTCCCTCCCTCCGGCACCTGCCAATCACTAATCTACTTTCTGTCTCTATGGATTTGCCTATTCTGGATATTTCACGTAAATGGAACCATGTCAATATGTAGTCTTTTGTGTCTGGCTTCTTTCACTTAGCATAGTGTTCTCAAGGTTCTTCCATTTTGTAGCATGTGTCAGTACTTCATTTCTTTTTATGGCTGAATAATATTCCATTTTACAGATGTCTCACATTTTGTTTATCCATTCATCAATTGGTAGATATTTGGAAGTATCTAGATTTAGTAATAATTGTCATGAAATACAGGAAAAAATAAAAATGTTTTATTGACTTTATTTCAGTTAATCCTCCCCGGAATTTTCAGATTGTGGATCCTGGATATTTAGGTTATCTCTATTTGCAATGGCAACCACCGCTGTCTCTGGATGATTTTAAGGAATGCACAATAGAATATGAATTGAAATACCGAAACATTGATAGTGAAAAATGGAAGGTAAGTAAAGCATGCACTTGTGATATCAGAGTGATCATTAGGCGTTTTCTTGTGATTCCTGACTTCAGTGTCCATTTCGATTCCCATATCTCCATAGTTCTAATTAGGATATAACCAAATGCCATGCCTGCTTCTATCTGCTATGCATCCTGCTACATCATCCAGTGTTAAGACTATCACTGGAAGTACAGGTAAAAAAAACACTTGGTCTCATGGAATATGGACTTGAAGAGCACTTATGTATTTTACCATATTTTACAGTTACTCATATACTTAGATATGAGTCTTAAATATGCTACTGGTCTGTGAGCTTTTTCTCTATGGGAGTCAAGCCTTATTTATCTTTGTACTCTCCCCAGAGAAGGTTGTAGGGTTTTAGTTCTTTGTATATATTGTAGTAAGTGCTCGATGAAAGTTTACTGAATTAATAACTACTTACGTACTCAACAAGCATGTTCATTCAAAGCCTTCTGTTGTAGAATACATTCTGTTACCTCCCTAATTCAGCTAGGTAGTTTCAAGGGACAATTCAAAACAAATATTTATTGAGCACCTTTTTGTGACAAGCACTCTGCTAGGTATCAGGAATATAAGAATAAATAATATATGATTTTCATCCTCCAGGAGCTCACAATCTGTCCAGCTTTCTTTACTTCCAGGATTTTATTTTATGTGTTTCCTGAAAATTTCATATTATATTTGAAAGGTGATGAGTAATTTGCCATGCAATGTGCGTATGATATGGGAAAACTCTATATTTGATTCCCAGTAGTTATAATTCAAGTTCCTGCCATAGGGCCTTTTTTCCTCTCCAGAAGTTTATGTTTGTATTTTTGGTTTGAATGAGATGTTAAGATTCAAATGATATCATCAAAAGATATGACATACAGAGGTGAGCTCTGCCTCAAATATGTTTGTGGTGTTATGTCAGATAACCATTAGGAGTGTCTTAGATATTGGGAACTCACTAGGATATTAATGACTTCTTAGTCTTCCTAATGTGGCTCACTATACCATGGCTATTTCTAAGTTTAACTTTGTTTCATCTTTTTATCAAACAGACCATCATTACTAAGAATCTACATTACAAAGACGGATTTGATCTTAACAAGGGCATTGAAGCAAAGATACACACACTTTTGTCAGGGCAATGTGCAAATGGATCAGAGGTTCAAAGTTCATGGTCAGAAGCTACTTATTGGATATCACCACAAGGTTAAAATAAAGCTCTCTTTTCATATTTAATACTATCAGAACAATCCATTTGAGAATAAGTCCTTTAAGTCTTAGGCACCAGATTGTATGTACAATAGATCCTGTGACAGCGTGGCACAAAATCAAATCCTTAGTAGTCAGTAACTGGCCTTTCTGAATTCTTTAAATCAGCAAATATATTTGGCAAAATCTACATTTTATTATATTAATGTAGTTCCCAGTTTTTGGGTCATATTAGTAAACACTTGTATTTGCTCAACTGCTCAGGGTATCCTAAAATAATCAATTTAATACTTTTGCATATGCTTACCCTAATATCAGTAAATGAGTCCTCAAAAGTTTTTTGATTTTGCATGTCCCACTTATAATGAAGTGATTTCCAGTGACTTCCTTTTGAAATATTCCTGATTATGTTGATTGCTAAATGAAGTGGAGAGGCCACGGGAAATTAAATAAAATTGCATAGTGATTTTACAAATGATTCATCACTATGCCTTTCAAGTATTCATAGTTGATTTATTCCTTAGGAAATCTGGAAACTAAAATTCAGGATATGGATTGCATATACTACAACTGGCAATATTTACTCTGTTCTTGGAAACCTGGCAGGGGTGTACATTTTGATGCCAATTACAACTTGTTTTACTGGTAAGTATTTTTATAATTAGAATTCCATATTAAGAAAATATCTACCCAAATTAATCCATAGTATGAATAACTACATTTTTACTAAATTTAATTCATTTTACTTGTCAGAGTTATATTTATGATGATGATTATTTATAATTATTTGTGGTTTTCAATGGGAGTAAGTGGTTTTAGGCTGTTGATACCGAAAGGTATTCTATGGGTTATAGAACGAATGCAATCATTGCTTCTGTATTGGATTAATTTGCATCCTTTACATAGATGAAGTTATAACCTAAAAAGTTTTGGCATATTTTATATCATTGCCTTTTAAAAAAGCAATTATCTATTAAACTGGATGACTTTTTTAAACTTAGAGCCATCTTGACTCTTCTATTTCCTTCATTTATTTATTTATTTATTTTTTTGAGACAGAGTCTCACTCTGTTGCCCTGGCTAGAGTGAGTGCCGTGGCGTCAGCCTAGCTCACAGC